TTGACGTCACAGACTCGATTTCGTTTTGTTATTATTCATTATGTTAACTACATAATCTTAATCTACTGGTTCTCCTTGCAGTTTTTACTACGATCTTCGTCATAGGACTGGATAAAATTCCATGTTTTTTCTGTTCCGCTTGTAACGCGATGCTTCTAAATGCTACTATTACGATACAACGGTGTACAAATACCTTTTTGACTAGAAAATTTTCATACTATTTTTATTATTTCAAAAATTACATCCGAAAAACTTGGTGTAGAAATACTTTTTTTGATCTATTGTATGCTGATTCGATCTAACGTTGAGTTTGCACTTTGAATCGATACAGGAAGATACATAATACAGGTGAATAGCAACATTAATTGGTTACAGTGGAAGTGATAATACACAATTTTTGTTTCCAATTTAGCTTTTCGCATTAGTTTTTGAATATATTAAATTCAGAAGTTGAATTTGGAATGAAAGAGATGGATCTATATTTATATAGAAAGAANTCGACAGCGGCGTCGCTCTCGCCGATCGTCGGCCAGTTTCGAGATCGTGCACGCGTCGTCGCCTGGATCGGTGCGGATCGATCTTGCCGGTCTGGATCCGAATCGCGGTTCTCCAGGTCCATTGATCCGCGATCATCGCCGTTTCCGCGGTCCGCGATCGCGCGCCAGCATCGGTAACGCGCTCGCGGCAACGATCGATCGATCCTTGGTCTTGAATCTTCAAGTGCTTCCTGGAGAGACGAGAGAAAGAGACGGCCAGAGGACAGGATAAAGAGACACCTACCATCCATATTTATTATCTTTATGTGCTCACAATGCAGCCGTTAAGGAGAACGCGGAAGCACGCGTCGCCGGGGATTCCGGTTATAAATGACGGTGTATTTAAGAAAGAGGTGGAAGAAAAAAAAACGAAAGAAAACGAACGACACGCACGCATACCGACGACACGCACACGCACACCGGTGCGTGGACCAGAAAAAAAGAAACTATGTAAGCGGATACGGTGAACCAATCGAACGAGATACCGGCGATACACAGCCGCCTTCGACCGATAAATATCGACGCTCGCAGGACGGAAGGATAATTCGGACTCATTAAAGAACAGTACACCTTTGCCGGCAGCGTTCCGCTCGCTGCCAATCACGTCCTGCGGCTCGGATAGCGGCGGTGCAACCCCTGGCAAAAAAAAAGTCTTTCACCGGGACAAGTAGATCAGTGAGAGTGTCGCGAATCGGTGGCTCGCGATCGATTGTACGACGAGTAAGTGATGCTGCACGAGAACGCGAATAGGAAACGTAGAGTGTCGCGGTCTCGCCTTATGTGAAATTATCGCTTCAAGGAGATTCGGTTCGGTACAGTGACCCGGAGATCCGTTCATATAGGGATTCTTGCTGTGGATCGAAACAGTATTTCCGGATCTAATCTTTCGGATGGAATTTCTCTCGAATATAATGCAGATTTTTCGGTGATTTATTGTACACAGAAATGAGTTCCGCTAATATGGACATTTCGAAATTAAAATATTGTGCCGTTTCATTACGTCATTATCTTGGATGAATGGTAGTTCTTCGATCATAAGGATAATGTTATCCTCTTCCGATACATTCTCCATTGATCGTGAGCACTGATCGAGAACATTAATACTAGATGCAATGATCATTGAAAAAGAGCTTCCATTTAGTGAGTTTGTTCTCAAGTTTTAAAAATCTTAGCATCGATATATGTATAGACGATTCTACATGATATCAATTCAAACGTAGTTTCTTCAGAATGAATATTGACGTCACAGACTCGATTTCGTTTTGTTATTATTCATTATGTTAACTACATAATCTTAATCTACTGGTTCTCCTTGCAGTTTTTACTACGATCTTCGTCATAGGACTGGATAAAATTCCATGTTTTTTCTGTTCCGCTTGTAACGCGATGCTTCTAAATGCTACTATTACGATACAACGGTGTACAAATACCTTTTTGACTAGAAAATTTTCATACTATTTTTATTATTTCAAAAATTACATCCGAAAAACTTGGTGTAGAAATACTTTTTTTGATCTATTGTATGCTGATTCGATCTAACGTTGAGTTTGCACTTTGAATCGATACAGGAAGATACATAATACAGGTGAATAGCAACATTAATTGGTTACAGTGGAAGTGATAATACACAATTTTTGTTTCCAATTTAGCTTTTCGCATTAGTTTTTGANTATATAGAAAGAATAATTAAAGGACTACGGTTTAAAATATTGGTCGTTACTGGTTTCTGAGTACGACATAATTTATATATGTATATTATGTGTACAAATATACAAAATCTATACACCTTGAAGAGTATAGTTAGACTGTTGTTTACTGAAAAAGAAATATCACAAATATCTATCTATAATTAATGAGCATTTATAAATCTTTACTTGAAAATTTGTTTCTACGAAATTCGCAATTTGTTTTTCATTGTAATTATACATAGTTTTATCGTTTTGTCTTACGAAAACGATGTGCAAGTTGTTTTGTGAGGAAAGTGGGAAGATAATATGATTTTTAGGTGTAGCATGCTTTTGCATTTCGAAATTGAAAACAGTCTAAAAGCATTTCCTTCTTTTTTGCAAACACACATGATATTATATGGAATTTGAATTCTTCTCTTTATAAACAAAAAGAAAAGTAACATTCATAAAACTTGGTCACTATTTTACGCAATAAGGAGTACACGTTGACGTTCTCACTTATATTCAAAAAATTCTTTATTTAACCATTATATGGCGAAATTTATATACATTCCATCTAACTTCTAGTTCCATCTAATTTTCTAGTAGCAAGTTCAAATCATTAGCTATTTGTATTGGGTCCAATAAGAACCTCAACATTGGTCTCAAAGAATTAGATTCATAAATATGTACAAAAATCGTGTGAGACGAATGGATTCAGCAATGGCTGCATGAACTCTTAAAAAGCATCTCTTTCATATTCACGTAAACAAATTTAGATTTTCCTACAATTTATGGCACTAGTGAAGTTGTTACATATGTCTATTTTATTTTCATTATAACAAACTTTTTAATAAAACAAAAATAGTACTATTTCTTTCATTCTAGTTGCTATATATAATCAAATATAATAACATGCATCCACAATTACTGCTGCTAAGCATTTTCAAAGCTTTCTACTAAATATCGTGACGCGTTTAATAAATACTCATCGTAAACTGGTTAATCGGTTTGGAGAATGTTTCTTGCCAGGGGTTGTAACCGACATACACAGAAAGTATAATTAACACGTATCGCAATCAACCGTCTCGACGACTTCGACATCCGAGTTATCCCTGAAAGTTCATGGATTTCTCTCGCCGTCTCTTTCTTCGCCTCTCCGCCTGCCTTGTCTCCTGCACGAGACCGGTAATTAATCGAGGAAAGTGAATATGATATCGATGCTGCACTGAACCGTACACATCCTGCCAGAGGCTAGTTAGATATACCTGTATCCTGTTAACTTTACCTTCAGTAGGATTTGTCTGGTACTGGAAACGTACGGGGACATTTTTCCGCCGATCCAAGAAGTCGACGAACGCTACGCTAATCAAAAGTCACTGTATCGTCGGTGATAAATCTCGTGGGATCTATCGATCAGTCCGACGACGATACTGCATACTCTGACTTTTAATAAAAATGTATCGATATCTATTTTCACTTTTCCACTATTTAATCAGAAACCGATCTACTTTAAGATCTTAACGTGAACGTTTCTCGTTGGTAATTGCTCCATACGTTTATGGCATATATGAGTGGAAGAAATACGACACAGTAAAAATATTTAACTGTTCTGTTATTTTAAAAAAGATTAAAAGGAAAAATATTCTACGCGTTCTTATGTAATTTATATTTCTTTCAATTAATGCAGAACATTTTTTGTTCTGCGCAGAGGTCTGTAGTTTACTCATCATTAATAGATACTGTTGGCTAATAATCTCGTTCTGGATCATATATGTATAGAACACGCGGTAACAGCAAAGATTTAAACACAGCGTTACTCGACTATTATACCTTTATTTATTTCCAATTTAAAGCAGAATTCTTTTTTAATTAATATTCAATATAAATATTCCTTACCATGTCACGTAACCGAAATTAATCAACTTTTCTCATTTCGCTGGCTTTGTGATATTTTAATAACAGTCGCAAAGAAATTCTATGAAATATTTTTAATAATAATTGCAAATGAATTCCATGAAATATGAATGGAGTATTAATGAAGAATATCGACTGTAGATGTGTGATCTGATATGTAGATGACATAAATTCTTCAGAAAAGAGATTTCCACAGATTCAGCCGCAAACTGAAATTTCGTTATAAAATAATTAATTATTTCTAAATTCTATTTCTTGCAGCCATGAACGCGAACATTCGCATCCTGTTGGTTCTCTTCGTAGCTTCTGCTATGGTATTCGTACTTTCCGCTGCAAATACTCCCTTCGATAGAGCTATTGGTAAGCTTATACTTCGTTAAATTAAACACTCCCGAATATTGTGGAACGTAGTTGATTTTTGAATATATCCCATTGTGCTAATATCAAATTATGGATTTGCAGTAATGTCTCCCTAACTGACGCTCAGATTGTGCACAAAAATGGACAATTTGGGAGGAGGAGATACGATTATTCGAGCTTTGCAGCTCGTTTTTATAGTTGTTGACAATTCGTGACTATTAAAACGAACCGCAAAGCTCGAATAATCGTATTTCCTCTTCCCAAATTATCCATTTTTGTGGGCAATCTGAGCGTCAATTAGAGAGATATTATTGTACTTCTTTTTGCTTTCGGTATAGTCAAACATCAAATATGACAAATTCAGAAATGTTAAAAACTTTGCTTGACCCACTGAATCTTCAGATATCGTTTTAATATCGACCTAGATCCTGACATATTGTGTCAGTTACATAAGAAAATACGANTCTACTTTAAGATCTTAACGTGAACGTTTCTCGTTGGTAATTGCTCCATACGTTTATGGCATATATGAGTGGAAGAAATACGACACAGTAAAAATATTTAACTGTTCTGTTATTTTAAAAAAGATTAAAAGGAAAAATATTCTACGCGTTCTTATGTAATTTATATTTCTTTCAATTAATGCAGAACATTTTTTGTTCTGCGCAGAGGTCTGTAGTTTACTCATCATTAATAGATACTGTTGGCTAATAATCTCGTTCTGGATCATATATGTATAGAACACGCGGTAACAGCAAAGATTTAAACACAGCGTTACTCGACTATTATACCTTTATTTATTTCCAATTTAAAGCAGAATTCTTTTTTAATTAATATTCAATATAAATATTCCTTACCATGTCACGTAACCGAAATTAATCAACTTTTCTCATTTCGCTGGCTTTGTGATATTTTAATAACAGTCGCAAAGAAATTCTATGAAATATTTTTAATAATAATTGCAAATGAATTCCATGAAATATGAATGGAGTATTAATGAAGAATATCGACTGTAGATGTGTGATCTGATATGTAGATGACATAAATTCTTCAGAAAAGAGATTTCCACAGATTCAGCCGCAAACTGAAATTTCGTTATAAAATAATTAATTATTTCTAAATTCTATTTCTTGCAGCCATGAACGCGAACATTCGCATCCTGTTGGTTCTCTTCGTAGCTTCTGCTATGGTATTCGTACTTTCCGCTGCAAATACTCCCTTCGATAGAGCTATTGGTAAGCTTATACTTCGTTAAATTAAACACTCCCGAATATTGTGGAACGTAGTTGATTTTTGAATATATCCCATTGTGCTAATATCAAATTATGGATTTGCAGTAATGTCTCCCTAACTGACGCTCAGATTGTGCACAAAAATGGACAATTTGGGAGGAGGAGATACGATTATTCGAGCTTTGCAGCTCGTTTTTATAGTTGTTGACAATTCGTGACTATTAAAACGAACCGCAAAGCTCGAATAATCGTATTTCCTCTTCCCAAATTATCCATTTTTGTGGGCAATCTGAGCGTCAATTAGAGAGATATTATTGTACTTCTTTTTGCTTTCGGTATAGTCAAACATCAAATATGACAAATTCAGAAATGTTAAAAACTTTGCTTGACCCACTGAATCTTCAGATATCGTTTTAATATCGACCTAGATCCTGACATATTGTGTCAGTTACATAAGAAAATACGATTCCGAGAAAAACACGACTTACGTTACATACGCATAATCACAGCGAGCTATGCAGCATACACTTTGAGAACCTATGATCTGGAAACGGCTGATCAATTTCAAATTTTATAGTAGACTACTTGAAAGCTTCAAAAATCTTTCGTCACGAACTAAGTCCAAAATTGCTGGCTTTCTACCATTTTCCTTTAACGAAAAAGTTAATTTAACACATCCGCGTGAGCAACGCAGGGCCAAAACAAAGTAAAAATAACAGAAAGCTGATAATAAACTTTGTATAAAGCGTGCTGAATTTTGATCGTCAGCAAGATGAAAGAAAATGAGAACAAGTGAAAGTCGGGTGTGCCAGACTCACAAAGAATTTGTTCCACTCTTTCGACTTGATTAATTTTTTATCACGTTTTTTAGGTGTATGTATACGAAACTGCGCACAGTGCAAAAAGATGTTCGGGCCATACTTCCTGGGGCAAAAGTGCGCCGACTCTTGCGTAAAGTTCAAAGGAAAGCTGATCCCTGACTGCGAGGACGAGCGTTCAATGCAACCGTTCCTGCAAGCGCTGGATGATAGCGACTATTAATTAGCATCGCCTACGTAAAGTTCCTAGTAATCGATGTTCGTGTCGAAAATACGTAACGTCCGCTAATTGTATGTGTACCGCCGGTAAATCTATAATGGAAATCTTCAACGAGGATCGAAGATCTGACGCGATTCGCCTGCAACTCCACAGTATTCTTTTTTTTATACAAACCTAGAGGCATACTTAGATGAAATATCAATGCAATCGAACACTGTGATCGATGCTTGTGACTGTGACAGATCGAGTAGCTCGTAACGCGTGCTAAATGTATGTGCGTGTATATGCGTGTGTGTGCGTGTGCCAAGAGATTACCGACTATAGTTTGGATGTTTCATTGAAGCCCAAGAACGTTTCATAAAACGTCTTTATCTCACATCTCATTTTCACGTATTTATAAAACATATTCAATACACGAATTTCAAAACATTCTCATACAATGGACAGGAAGATAGAAATGCAACGCAGAGAGGATAGTATAAAAATCTTGTTGAATTCGCTTCGGCTGAATACCAAAAGCTTACATAATCATAATATCGTAAATACTGTTATCACTGAATAAATGCATAGAGAATATGCTCACTAGCGAATCATCAGAATCAATCCAGGGATATAATCACCAATGTTCGAAATGACAGAGGTCTTTATACCTGAAACGTAAAAGAACCTCAAAAGAAGCTCACCACGAGCACAATTTAGCTTCTAATTATAGTCCCATATGAATGTAAGGAATAAACTGTTACTGAGTTAAATTCTTCGAACATGACGATTGTTATGACTATAACAGTCTATGCGCAAAATATTAAATGAAGTTCAATAATATTGTACTATTAAGTTGTAGAATTGAAAGCTAGCAGCGTCAATACATTTATTTTGTCTGTGTGCATCTTGCGAGGAGCTATCGTATAGAAAAAGTACAAGCCTTTTACTTACCGGAAGAGGATTATTCAGGAGAAGGAGGCGTTAAGTAACACTCCGGTATTGTCGATAATGTCTGCCTCGATTCCAATTGTTGTACCTGAAAGAAGAGAGTCGCATGAATTTTGTTACATTGTTCCTTAAGCTGCGTTCGTGTTTTGATCCGTTTTTAGCGCATATTTACACGTTGCCGAAGAGTTTTTTCGTTAATGGCTGCTCTTGATAATAAATGTTTCACTTTGTCTAGAAGCTCCGACTTGTGGCTCAATTGCTCCTTCAACACCTTTAACTCTCCATTCTCGTCCTCCTTTTGTATGGTTTGCAACGCGACTAATCTTTGCTCAGCCAGCTGCAAATCCGTTTCCAGCGCAACCACGCGCTTCTGCGCTTCCTCATATTGCTCTTGTAATAAACTATCGGTATGTCTACCAGATAATTTCCCCTAAAAACGAACAAAATGGTGACTTTTGTGAAGACAAACATTTTATGACACTATCCAACATGTATTGGATTATCAGATATGTTTTAAGCTTTTGTATTGTGTTTTAATCTTAAAACATTTGGAAGTAAAAAGGAAGGATCAATTGGAGTTTATAGCACAATTGATCAACACTAATTCTGCATTTCTCTAATTTTTTAGGTAAACTAAAAAATGTCCGAAAAAGTTCCAAAAAGATTAAAATTGAAACTTGAATATTTGTTCAAAGTTAAAATATAACAACATACAGAAAAAGTTTAAATCTGTTGAATAGTGTAGATTGTAGATAATGAATTATGCAATGTAGCAGTGTCTCTCTATTAGCCTTGTTAACACCCATTAGTCACGCTTCTAAATAAAGAAACATAAATGGAGTAACTTACAGTCGGTGTAAAAAAAATTAACGACCGCTTAATTTTTTAAGAACATTTTGTACCTAAGTTCTACTGATTCAGTAATTCAATTTAGTAATCCGATTCAGTCAATCCAATTACGTTTTCATAACTCTAACTATGTCACTCTATTGATAATATTAAAAAATTGTTACAATCCTAGCAGAATTGCATCTTTCCTTAATTTACTGCTAGACTAAAATGAAAACAAGTAATATTTAGTGTGGCATTCACTTTATTTTCAATTCTTACGAAAACCTTAGTACAAGAAACTAAAAAAACTAGATAAGAAACTTCAATTAGAAAAATTAAAGTTTATATCTTCAAGATCTTGGACAACGACTAATCAATCAATAATGCTTGTTAGTTTGGCTCAAAAGCAAAGCTTCATTGGTGAAACAATAGAAACTATTAACAATCCTGTGCCGATAGAAACTCATTAAAAATTTCGAATCGCGGACTGTTAGAGAGACATTACTAAACTAATATTATCTTCATGCCTGAGGTATGACGTGATTCTTTTTCGAACCCATCCTGAGACGCTTATTTTCCATCTGTAATTTTTCAATAATTCTTTTCAAAGTAAAAATTGTTTTCTCCATTTCTATATTCGACTTCTTCGCACTGTACTCTTGTAACTCTTTATCTGATAATCTAGGCGACGAATCCGACGATTTTTCTACTTTCAAAAGCTTTATATATCTAAATAGAAAAAAAAGGATTTTTAAATAAAATACATAATTATCTTAATTGTATATGTATATCATCTCCGAAACCTACTTCTCCAAATGTTCCACTTTTTCTCGCAACTTTGGCGCATCAGCGTTCATTTTTTCCACTTCGAGTCGAAGCTCGAAATTCTCACTCTCTAAAGCCAGATTCATTTTCTCAAGAATCTCCTTGGTCATTTCTAGTTTTTCTAATTGCGCCGTGACGCAATTACTGCCCTGTGGTACACATACAAATATAAATTGCTAAACTATAAATGTTCTTAATAGGTGGAGCCAAAAACGACATGCATATTCGGGATAAACAATTTTCATTGTTCAATTATTTCCTTATTTAATTTGATATCGTATATTTCAACTGTTCTATATGTTCAAATATAGTTGTTCTTCTCTATTGTCTATTTATTTTCATGATGAAATCAATAAGAAAAATTTTTATATAATGTTGAACTAATCCGAGATTTACCCTTCAATCTTACAAAAGTAACCAAAAGTACCAATCAATTAAATTATTTAAATTATTTATCAAACCGCAATTTACAATGAATTTCATTCGATCACCGTAACTGCATAAAAATTATGTACACTTCGTACTTATACGTAAGCAATCATAATTGAATACCAGAACAGAGAAAAATTATTTTAAAAATATATTTTAAATACATATTTTAAAGCCTTAATCAATTTTCAATTCTAGTGTAGAAAAATACACCGCCATTGCAACAAACCTGAGAGATAATTTCTAAAGCAGCGATACGTCTCTTTTGTTCATCGATTTTCAATAATAACTTCTCACTATCCTCGTTCTCTAATCTATCAGTTAATTCCTTAATCCGATCGCGAAGAACATGGCATTCATTTTGAAGTTGCTCCATAACGTTCTGTTGCGTTATTGGCACAGATCTAGCGGATAAACCACCGGCTATCACTCCGTTTTCCATTTTCAGTTTTCTCTTTAAGTACCATTTCTCCCTTTCCATACACGTCACCACCAATCGGAGTTTATCATAACTGGAAAGTAATTTCGTATGCTCCTCGGTTTTCTCTTTGAGTTTCTGTTTTAACTTTTCAGCGGTTTGTTGCCATTTCTTCTGCTTCTCCCATAACAGAAGTTCTTCCGCGGTCTACACGAAAGAATACTACCTTTACTTTACTTAATCATCGCAAAAAAAATATTTACACTAAAATTTCGCATATACCTTAGTCTTTTTCGCCTCCTGTGCTAAATACTCGCGATCCAATTGAGCTCGCGCTTTCTCTAAATCTGACTCCAAAAGTTTTACTTTATGTTCGAGCTGTGTTTCCCGTTGGAAAACTTTTCTTTCTTGTGCTTTTACTGCCATGTATCTGAGGTGAAAATTCACTAAACTTACTCGATATGTTACCTACTAGAATCTTGTTAATAGAATTCCCAGTGATTGTATTGTAAAAAAAACAAAACGTAAATATTTTGTTAAATTATAATCTCAAAAGAAATCACATTACATCTGCAGGACCTTGACTACTTACACCGTTCAAATTACGTATAAAATATTTTTGCGTTTGCATGATCAGGAAAGTGAACTTTGTATAAGAACTATTATATATGATTTTATACCAGATTTTATATGAGCTTGAAGTCAAACATTCAGACTATTATTTAAACTGTTATTTATAGGTAGAGTTTGAAGATTAGTACAGTTAATGTACAAGCCGATAGCTACAATGAAAAAATGAGTTAAGATTGCCTTAAAATAAAAAGATAGATAATGATTTTTATCAGAATTAATATGTACAAATTAAAAAATGCTCCGATTACATAAAATATCGCTAAGCAAACCGAGAAAAATAAAGTGCATGGACTTCGGCTAACCAGCTATAGTGTTAATAAATGTATAGTAATATATAAATAATTTCGTGCGTACTTTTCTGAATTGAAAACTTATGTATTTGCTTACTAGAGAGAAATACCTGCGGCTAAGCTGATGCTTCAAATCAGAAATTTCCTGCTTGTAGGTTTTCTCTTTTTCCAGTAACGACTGCAATTGTTTGCGTACCGCATCTACAGGTTGAGGTTGATCCCGAGTCTGTGTAACTTCGTTCACCTTTGATTCTGTTTCTCGCTGCGTTACTGCTCGCTGCGACCTAGTCTCCATTAGCTCAACCTCATTCTTTGGAGAAACATAATGAAGCATGTTCAAATATTTATTTTCACTGAGTTTCACTAGCTTTTTACGACTGGTAACTATAGCCAACCAACATTGATCTATCGGAATAAAGGTAAGGATTGCTAATATGGAACACCTGATTTCAAAAGATTGTCAAAAGTAGAATACCTTTTTCTTCCTTGAGGGAAGCTACAACCTTGAAATACCTACGTGATATTTAACTCTTGAAATTAAATAATATTTTAATATTAATTATCGGAAAACCTATATACCAAGTTGACTTTAGAATTCGATACTTCTTTCTCGAGATATTACGATGTTCCATATTACCTGCATTTATCCAAATAGTATCAGTGACCATAGTCATCCATCAAAATTTTTCATTCACTAACAATAATGGTTGGCTTTACACAATTATCTACCTATTTCGTGGCAATATCTACAGTACCTGAAGCTGTTGACAAGTGAGGCCGAGCTCGTTAATTTTGTCATCCTTTTCTTGCAATTCCTTCATTAAAGAAATATTCCCTTTCGCCACTAACATGCGATTTTCAGACAATTGTTTGCGCAATGTGCATGCCTCCGATTGCCACTTTTTTAGTTCCCCGCGATAACTTTCTAGTTCACTTTTATGTTGCTCTTCAAGTCTGGTGACATGTAGCTACACTTAAATATACATTGAGACGTCAAGAAATCATGGAATTGAGTTGGGCAAAGCAACGTTTCCATTTGAATGTTAAAACAAGCTACTGTACTTAATTTGTAGAATTTGTTACATATTATATTGTAAAATGTACTCTTTTAAAAGTGAAAAAGCAACGCAGAAGAATATGGAAGAAAGTCTTGCACTTGTTAAATAACTTGTATAGAAAACCAAAAATATATTTGATCACATTTTATTTTCATGTGTAATGTCTTCAAATTTTATTATTAATTATTTATAAAAAGAAATTACACTAAAATACTATACTACAATATTGTCATTAGAACGTAAAACATATATATACTGAATAAAAAAAAACATATTTTTTAAATTTTAACACTTAGAGTACTTTCTACAAAGTGACTTCAATTATGTTTCTATTTGCAGAAGATTTAATGAACATTCATAAATATTTCTTATACATTTCTTAAGTAGGACTGTGACTTTACTTGTCTCGATACTCAACTCCCAGCACCATCTGAAATCCCGATGATTCTACAAAACAACAACTTACCTTTCCCTCATGCGATCCATGTGCTTCAGTCTTTCCTCAGCCAATAAATGCCATCGATCACTTAACTCCCTCGTGATATTTAGATCCGCTTCGAGAGTCGAAACTGTCTCATTCAACCGGGCAATCTCCTCTGTTTGTTTGATGCTGTTCTTAACATCAACTCTTGTCGCAGCTTCTTTTACTTTATCGTTTAAATTTTCTGGCTCCGTGATTACGTTTCCTTGTTGTGTTGTAACCTTCTGAGCTTCTACCTGCATGGACTGAACACGACAATGTAAGCTTCTAATTTCCTCTTGCAAGCGGGCAGCAGCTTTACTATGCTCGTCTCTGTCCTCTTTTAGAAGACTTTGGTATCTGGCTATAGTTTCCTCTTTCTGTTCTACTAATTGCTGCAAACTATTTATGGTTGACTTTAAAGCTAGCTTGCTACTACTCTCAGTACCTAACAGCTGCGACTGGGGAGCCAACTTGTATTCTTCCAGAAGCTTCTCTTTCTGTTTCAATTGCAAATCCTTATTTTCTATTGTCGTGTTCGACGCTTCTACCTTGGCACGACACTCAGCTATCTCTAATTCATATTTAACTAACGTCGCAGATCGCTCAGAGGCTAACTTTAAAGCCTGGTTTAATTGATCACGGAGTAAAGATATTTCTTGATTGTTTCCAATTCTTTTCTCTTCTTCTTTTCTCATTTTCAAAGAAACTGATATTTCGTCTTCTATCATTTGTTCTTTCTGTTTATTCTCCATTTTAAAAGACTCTAACTTTTCTTCTTTGTTTATTTCTGTGTCTTTGCAATTAGTTTCTTCTATCTGATCCAATTTCTTTTCCGTCGACTGTGATTCTTCTTTTAAACTAATGTCATTTAATATTGAAGTAGTTTGTACTTCCACTTCGCTGGTATTCTTCTTCTCCAAGCAACAAGTGTATGGATCCGTTTGTATTTCTACTGATTTTGTAGATACCATTGCTTGTACCGTTTCATGTTTGATTGTTGACGATGCAGTATTCGTCCCTATATTTCTTGTATCGATCTTCGATTGCTGATCTTGACTCTTACCCCAAGCTTTCTGGGACTGTATCATCTCGTGCTCCATGGTGGTAATAAGCGACTCATATTCTATAAATTTATTGTTCGCGATTTTCAGCTCATTCTCGAGTTGCGTCATTTTCCGTTGATATTTGAAATCCTAATAAATCACGGTTTAAAATATTGAGTATTATTTGCTTGGGCACAAACAAATAATTTGGACAAATAGTTTGGATATATGCGAAGATTTTATAAATATAAATAAAACAATAGATTGCAGAAGTTTTGTATAATATCGATTCTTCAATCTTCTATATATATTTTTATAAGAACTAAAAACTTATATAGAAAATTTTTGTTTTACCTTTCATTAATTTATTAGTATAAATAAAAAAGTTTTAAGAATATATTTCAAAAAAATGTAATAAAAATAAAATAATGTAAATCGGATCGAAGATCGTAGAACACACTTCTTAAATACAAAAAATAAACGTACATTTAAGGTATACTGTGAATATTCTGAAAAACGTTGCATAATATCTTGAACGCTGTTACTTCCAATTTGTTGTTCTAAAATATCTTTCAAGCTCTCAACGATTTGTAAGCGATTTGTAAGCGTTTCTTGTTGTAACTTAGTATCCAAACGATTCTCTTTCGCACTCAGTAATTCAGAATCTATACTCTGACGCTCATCCTTCAATTTAGAAGATAACGAAGTTATTCTATCAAGAGCACTAATTGAAGTACAACCTGCATATTGATTCTGCAGAAACCCTATAACATCTACGTAAGCTCTGGAAGTAAATTGTAATTATTATCCTATGAATTTTTTTTTTATTTTTGAAATTTTATATATAACAATGAATCCTCCTAAGCGATTAGAAAGCAAATCTTTGAATTGAACCATATTTTCATAAGGCGTTTTGCTGTCTTTAAACATTATTAACACATACTTAAATGTTTAAAATGTTGTAAGAGCAGAAAAATGCTTAAAGTTGTAAATTGGGCATTATTTTAAAAATTAAATTTCTCAAAAACTGATGGTGTTGGAGAAAACTGACATTCGAACTTGTGTATCAATAGAAATTGCCTACTAGTTATCAAAACGACTGTCTTTTTTTAAAAAGATGAAATTTGTTAAGTAACGTAATTAAGATCTTCGGGGGAATTTGCTATTTTGAATTATATTGCAACTCTAAAATACAAGTTTTTTCATCTCCAATTTACTGTTCTATAACATCAATTTGATTAGAATGTGATGAAACATCGCTTAGGGGAATTTAAAATTTGTAAAACTAACGTCACCTGCATCGATTTTCACATTGTTTCCGACAATCTTGAACATAACTGCGTAATCCTTCGCACGTTACCCTGGACTTGTCCAATTCCTCCTGTAAGTACGAGACTTCTTTTTCAAGTTGTACTTTTCGCGCGTTCAGTTCCATTTCTGATATATTTTTACTTGACAATTCAAAGTTCAGCCTCGATATCGTAGCTTTGTCTTCGCTGATAGCTTGCAAGTCGAGAATCTGATGTCGTAGATTATCCAACTCCAGCGTTTTCATCGAGTTGAGCGAATACTGCTTTTCAGCCTCATCCTGAGAAATCTGTAACAACTTCTTTAAATTCTCGATCTCTAGTTTCAGCTCTTCATTATTATCCTCCAATTCCTTAATTTTATTATCGTCAAGTGTATCAAACTTCTCAAAAGACATTTCCTTGGTAAGCCTCTTGTGGAGAATAATTAATTCCTCTTGCAATTCAGCCTTTGCTGCGAGCACGTCTTTAATATTTCCCTCGCATTTCGAAAATTGAACTTGCAATATTTCATGCAGATTAGTTATATGATCAGCGCGTTGTTTTTCTAAGAGTTCATTCGTGTTAGCTTCCTTCAACTGACGCACTAAATCCTCTTCAGTTCCATAAACAATCTCTTTCTTCATAAGATCGACGATCTGATTTTTTTGCTGTTTCACCAGCTCCAACTCATTTTTTAACGCCTGCACTTCCTTTTCATTTTGCAACACAATATTGTTTTCTAATAAATTTCGAATTCGTATACTCAATTCCTGGTGCTTTTCTTTCAGCTCATTGTAGGTGGTTTTACTCACAGAGTTGAACAAATTACTTCGCAAAGTTGAAATCTCACGCTCTAAGGTTTTATTGTGTTTATTCGTATCGACGAGTGATTTTCTTAAGTTAGTCTCGTTCTTTATTGTTTCCTTTTGCTCCTGATAGCCTTTCATGATCTCATTGTTCAACAACTGCTGAAGAACATCATTCTTCCTGTTCGCGATAAGCATCTCGCCAGCAACTTCAACATACTCCTTAGTTTTAGTTGCAAAACCTTTACGAAGTTCATCATCGTCCTCCTCAAAAATTTTCATACTGCGCTCATAAACTTCGAGCTGCATTTTCAACTTGTCGATCTCATTTATCAATTTGTCGTTTTCCTGCATTAACGAATCCTTTTGTCTATCCCACTCATCTGTCTCATTTTCATAAGCTTCTTGCAATTTCTTCATCTCGGTTAGATACATCGCTATCTTGTCGTTATCCGATTCTTCGGCGTATATTGTTTCTATATTCGTGTCTTTGTTCAAGGCTAATGTTTGGAGTATGTGATCCTTCCTTTGCAGTTCTTTCCTGTAATTAGTGTAATCCTTTGATTCTAACCACTCCGTTAATGTATTTACACTACATACACCACTGATTTTTTTTATATAAGACATTAATAACCATATGGATCTGACATTCATTCTAATACAAAGTAGTTCTATGCTTTTAACTCAATGGTACTGCAGTACTAAACAGCAATACAAAATCAAAATTAAGACATTTGCTAAACTATTAGTTTTTAAACACAAATATCGCTTCAGAGCGGCAATTGATACGATAAAGAAATGTTTTTCTGATGACCATATTTTTCTTAACTCCTCCAAAGGTAAGTTAAAAGTCAACATATCATATATGGTTGATTATTTCACTTTCACGTGGCCATGTTTTCTTTTAATATTCTACGTTATCTTTAATCATAAATATTTAAGGTGCTCACGATAGATGGAACACCAGACACATCGCTGAATACAATTAGAAACTACCAGATAAAAGATAAGATCACTTTTATTAAAATATTTAATAAAAAATGTTTTATATATGTACCTCAATAATTTTAGTTGTCCTCTCAACTCTGTATTTGTACCCTGTACAACGTTTAGATGTTCCTGTAATCTCATTGCTGGATGATACCAGCCAGCCAAGTGTCTCACATCTAATGCTTCTAATAGTCTTTCTAATGTAGTAGAATGTATTTCGACCAAGCTTTGACCTGAGATATTAAATTATTAAGTACTACACTATAATTGTTTACATACGAAGCAAACTATGAGGACTTGTATTATTCTAATGTATTACAGTAGTCTGAGAGAAAATCCTGCCGTGTGTATTGCAATTGCCATTAGTACTCACGGTCTAATAATAATATCAGAAGAAAACGGACAGAATTTTCCAGCAGAATCGATTTATAAATGTAGTTAATATACAAGTGTCAGGTAGCAATTGTGTGGGTTACAGATAGTAGAAAATTAGAGAGTCAAATTCTAGGGTGAAAAAGTAGAAAACAGTGCATCATTAAAGTACCATTAAAATTAGTGAAAATTCACCGTCTTGGGTACGGATACAGTCCAAAATTTCGTGCATGCCTGTTCTCAAGGCTTCATTTTCTTCTATAACCAATTGCAAATTCTGTTGCAATGTCGATATCTTTGTTTTGTTATACAACTTCGAATCAGTTTCAAATAATTTCGTAGAATGTAAAAATTCTTCACTATCACCTACTATACTACTCGAAAAATCGAACTCTTTAGTAGTTCTGCTTAATTTATACTTTAGTACCCTTATCTAGAAAATATTTGTTTTAAATAGAAAATATGTTACGATTAAAAAATAGAAATTCATTGTATACAAATGTTTTGATCTTACATCAGACTTCATTTCCAAATTTTCTTCGACAAGCATTTTATTTTGTTGCATAAGTTCTTCCAATCTCTTGGCCTCTCGTTTACGTTTCTCTAAAATATTCTGTATCGACACTGATTCATCTTCTGGGATTCCTAACTTCTCTCTAAGTGTCCGCATCATTAATATTACAATTAATTTATAGTAACTTTATAAATGAAATATAATAAATTCCAGTAATAAAAGAAAATAATATATAATTACCTAAGAGTAATAATCTCCATTTCCTGATATGAATTTAGCATTTCTAATTTATTGACGACATTAATTAATTCTCTTATACGTTCATTTTTATCTTCCAAAACATTCTTTATTTCCTTTATTTCGTTTATGGCAACTGTTAATCCTTCATTACCATCTTCATATTTTTTTAATGTTGCTAATATATCACAAAACTAAATACAAATATTAGTAAATGTTTCATTGTTAAATTTTAAATACTAAATATATAGTAAACTAACTTTACTACTTCTTAAATTCGCGTCTTCCTCTGCCTCTATTATCTTCATTTGCAATTTGGATATCTGCTCATTTGCATTGTGTAGCTTTTTCAATAAATCTTTAACATCCTTCTTTCTACTGTTTTTTCCAACTCTGTATGAAATATGTATAGATTAAACTTTATTACCAATATTATTTATTAAAATTAATATACATACTTCTGGGCATCTGCTTTTAATTTTTCTATCAATGCAGCACTGTTATTAATTTCAGCAACAGCTTCCTGAAGCTGTGTTTTTAATTCAATTATAATTTTGTCACGACAATCTATCTCTTTATTTAAGTGAACTATTTCAGATTTGTTCTGTTCCTGAACCATAACTGTTGACTGCATAAGTGACTGTGATAAATTTTCTTGTAACTGTTGAATTGTTGAATCTTTTTCATCTAGTACAGCCTAATTAAACAAATGTTACAATAAGAATATAATTAACTAACACTGAGTAAGTTAGAAACAACACTTATACCTTCCATTCATTAATTCTTGTATCAATTGCTGCACCAAATTCATCTATCGCTTTATCTCTATCTACCTGTTGTGCTGCTACTTCTTCAATTTGAGCAACTAATGCAGCATTTTCACGTTCCAAGTAACATACCTTTTCTGAAAAAGATTTCTTTCAGTTTATAAACTTATTGTTATTAAGATTAAACGGAATGATGTTCAGATACCTTTGTATTCTATGGATTTAATTTGTGTAGAACATAATTCTTCTGTCATCTCATTCATTTTATCTGTAGCACCTTTCATTTCTTGTGTTAATGTTGTTAATTGTTCTTTTAAAATAATATTGTCCTTTTCTAAACTCTAGGGATACAAATAGAGTACTAAATCATATTAATAACATTTTTTCTTGCTTAGACTTACCTCTAATTCTGACATCAAAAGTTTTATTTTTGAATTTATGCCTGGTAATTCATTGCTGTCTGTTTCATCCAAATG